TTGGTAATGCTCTTCATGTATTAGGAGAAATAAATTTCCTCCACTGCAGAAACATAGATAAAATTCTCTGATGTTACACAGTTCCTTTTGAGTGACTTGTCTATTGAAATTAATGATTCTGTGACTGAACTCAGTTTTATCTGTAGAAGAGATATGTACAAGGGTTCTGGCAATCATATCAGGAATATGCTTTGAGAGCTTTAAAAATAGAACAAACAACAGTAAAGATGTGGAAAAGGGGACCATTCAGTAGTATTCTGGACTGGACACAGCTTTTGTGGTTGGTAGATTGTTTTTTTTTTAAAGAGCGTTTTTATTTCTTTTATTTTCTCACTTCTGTCACTTACGATTTTCTGATTTGGAGTGGTTTGGGTCTTATGTTGTTGTAGGAACATTCAGATTTCCTGGCCTAGGAGCTGTTTTCCAAACTTCTCGTGTGACAGAGCACCAAAACTTCGCTCTTCTTTAATGCACTTTCTTCTTATCTCTAAGTATCTTATCTGTATTCCATCCTGTTGTGGGGAGAGCTGAATCTGGTAGCTTGATAGAAGTGAGGTTGCTGCAGGTTGCCCAGGTCCAACCAGTAGCGAGGCTAAGTGTGTATTCCTGTAGGTATAAACACACATATACAACATGTATACACAGCCAGCCGCGCAGATCAACATGAAGAGGCGCGCTCAGCACTCACACGAACAGCACCAACAACTTCCATCCCGTTTCCCTCTCTGGCTGATCAGGATGAGAGAAAAGAAACATATATAAAAAAGATATATAAAAGAAGTACATATATATGTATCTGTACGTTTGTGAGTGCACACATGTGCGATATGGATCTCTCCTGTAGCTGAACACTCGGCCTACTCAGTATCTGGCCTTTGGATCATGGTCTCCTCAGTTGCTGGTGCGTGGACGTACGAGGCCCTGAGGCCCGCAGAGCCATGCCAGTTGCTTGTGTAGACCTCCTTACAGACAGGGTCACGCTCACAGACACTGCTCTTCCCGGTCCCTCTGATTTGGTGTCAGGCGTGACCAGACTTGTATACGGACCAACCACCTGTTTACAAGCAAGTGGCCCTTTTTATTCTCTTACACCTCTATTTTCCCACATTTGATCCTCCCCAAATCAGCTAATTCTCTCCCTTTCCTTTCCTTTGGTACCACTCCTAAACATCCCAGTCGTGTGTAATCCTGAGTTGTTCTTCGCTAGCATCCCGTGTGTCACGTAACCCGAGGCATTAACACCACACTCTCCCTTCTCACCGCTCCCCTGCCTTCCAAAGGGTGCTCCAGAGGGCGGCTCCCATTGACTCATCCTGGTGGGTCTCCTGGGACAGACCTGGGGGGAAGGTCTCTGTTTCTTTGAGTCCATAATTTGTGTTCCCCTGCCTGCCATTGTGGTTCTGTACTTCTCTGTGTTCATGGAGATAAGGCCTTGATAGGCCTGGAAATAGTGAGGGGAGGCAGGATATTATCTGGGTTTCCCCGCCTGCCATTTTTTCTCTATGCTCCTTTTTGTGTGTGTGCAGATGAGCTTTTTATGACATAACCTAGCACCTTCTGGCTCTCTTCCTGAGGAGTATTTTTTTCCCAGACCATGCTGTGGCACTGTTTCTTCCCTATCTTCTGTGTCGGAGGATTGCAGGCTTTGGAGTGCCTAAAAGTTACTGAGTCAAAAGGCTGTGCCTACCTCACTGGTGTCCAGGTGCCTTAGAAAAACTACTTTTTTTTTTTTTAAGTATTGAATATGAGGATAAGCTGAGGCAGGAGCAGACTCAAAGCTGTTATCCAGACTGAATAATGAGACTGAAGCATTTCTGTTCTTACTCATTAGCAGAAGTACTATTGAAAGGCAAGAGGAAATCTGAGCAAGGGGAAGGCGAAGATCTTAAAGACTCTCCCAAGAAGAAGCAGAAGATTTTGGGTAATACAAATAACTTGTAATTCCTAGTTACAAGCCTTCAGGTACTTCAGACTTCCTCTCTGCCCAAATGCTATCCTCTGCTGTCTTCCAACTCTATTTCTGATTCTGGGTATTTTGTTATAGGGGACTGTTGACTAGTTTCTGTTTTACAGTGGGAGATGATTGTTCTAATTTCAGTCTTTCTTAAAAGTCCAACGAAGGGAGAGAGGAAAGGAAGTAGGGGAAATGTAGGCTAGTCTGTTTCATTTCAGTTTCCCAAAAGATTCTGGACTAAATAATCAGACAAATTACTTGTAAACATCTGGAGATTAATGAGTAGATGATAACAGCAATAGGGGTTTATTAAGGAGAAATCAAACCCAACCACCTTGATTTTCGTTTACCACAGAGACGGAGTGGGGAAATGCTTGATATCATACGTCTTTCATGCCTTCAAAGGGTTGTTAATCAGTGGTTAGGTGCAAAAGGAAGTGTACAAGTGTTGAAAGTAGGAGCAGGTGACACAGGAAAAGTATACATTTGCTGTCCAGTCTTGCAAGGATGAGGTTAGGAAAGCCAAGGCCAACCTGGAGCTGAATCTGGGAAGGGATGTGAAAGGCAACAAGAAAGGATTCTGCAAGTACATGAACAGCAAACAGAAGACTAGGGAAAGCGTGAGTCCACTGCTGAACAGGGCAGGGGAACTGGTGACAAATGACATGGAAAAGGCTGAGGTACTCAATGCTTCCTGTGCCTCAATCTTTACCAATTAAAGGAATCCTTCAGGATTCCCACGTGCCTGAGACCAGAGGGAAAGTCTGGAGCAAGGAAGCCTTACAGTGAAGGAGGACAAGGTTAGAGCACTTAAACAAACTGGACATACTTAAGTCCCATGGGGCCTGGCAGGTTGCACTGAGTGCTGAGAGAGCTGGCTGGTGTCATTGTGAGGCCACTCTTGATTATCTTTGAAAGGTCAGTGTGACTGGGTGGGAGAGGTTCCTGAAGACTGGAAGGAGGCAAGTACAAGTCCTATCTTCAAGGACAGAAAGAAGGAAGATCTGGGGAACTACAGGCTGGTCAGCCTCACCTCAGTCCCAGGGAAAGGTGATGGAGAGAATCCTCCTGGAAAGCATTTCCAAATACATGAAGGACAAGGTGGTGACTGGGAGTAGTCAGCATGGATTCATGAAGGGCAAATCATGCTTAATCAACCTGATAGCCTTCTACAATGAGGTGGACGAGGGTACAGCAGTAGATGTTGTTCACCTCAACTTTAGTAAGGCTTTTCGTGCTGTTTCCCACAACATCCTCATAGATGAGCTGACAAAGTACACAGTGGATTGAAAACCAGCTGAACATCCAGGCCCAGAAGGTTGTGATCAGTAGCACGAAGTCTAGTTGGAGGCACATCACGAGTGGTATATCCCAGGGGTAAATACTGGGGCCAGTACTGTTTAACATTTTCATTAATGAGCTGGACAATGGGACGGTGTGTACCCTCAGCAAGCACATGGATGATACAAAACTGGGAGGGGTGGTGGTGGAGCAGATGGGTGTGCTGCCATTCACAGGGACCCAGACAGGCTGGAGAATTAAGCAGAGAGGAATCTCTTGAGGTTCATCAAGGAGAAATGTGAAGTCCTGCAGCTGGGCAGGAATAACCCCATGTACCAGCATATGCTGGGGTCTAACTTTCTGGAAACTAGCTTTGCAGAGAGGGACGTTGGGGTCCTAGAGGACAGCAAGCTGACTGAGCCAGCAACACGCTCTTGTGGCAAAGGCAGCCAACAGCATTCTGGGCTACATTAGGAAGAGCATTGCCAGCAGGTCGAGGGAGATCATCCTTTCTGCGCAGCACTGGTGAGGCCACATCTGGAGTACTGTGTCCAGTTCTGGGCTCCCCAATACAGGGGTGCAAATATGATTGAGCGACTGGAATATCTTTACTATGAGGACAGAGAGAGCTGCGACTCTTCAGTCTGGAGAAGAGAAGGCTCAGGGGGAATCTTATCAGTGTGTATAAATACTTGATGGGAGGGAATGAAGAAGAGGGAGCCAGACTCTTCTCTATAGTGTTCACTGACAGGACAAGAGGCAACGGACACAAATTAAAACACACAACGTTCTATCTACAGACAAGAATACATTTTTTTACTGTGAGGGTGGTCAAACCCTGGCACAGGTTGCCCAAAGTGGACCAACTGAAGAGAACAGGGACGAGAAGAGAGCAAAAAGCCATGAGAAAATACTGAAACAATAAGAGTTGTTTAGTCTAAAGAAAACAGGATTGAGTAGAGGAATGGGACTGTCCATTTGGTTGTCAACAAGTCATTAGATTGGCTCAGCCATACTGTGAACAGAGGATGTTTCAGTGTGGAGAGTTCCCATCCCCTGAGCTTTGTATATGAACAACCATACAGATTACAAATACATGGATGGGACTAATGCCTGCAGCTGTAAATAGCTATGGATTTTGAAAGGGAGTAGACAACATAATCTTGAAATGCCTTTAAAAAAAAAAGAAGCATTGAACATTTCTGAATGAGTAGCTTTCAGACAGCCTCCTAGCAAAAAATCTCTGCTTTTTTGTAACAAGGCTCACAGAATTAAGTCTTCTGGTCTTTCTTGTTTGTGTTATAACAGGAAAAAAACAGCAAGCTGGAACACAACAAAACTCCAAAACAAAAGGCCACTGTGTTCAGAAAGAACCAGAAACCTATGGCACAGGTAAGAAGAAGAAGCAGTTGCTCAGAATTGTTTATAAAGCAGCTAAAAGATAAATGTGATTCTAGGATTTGAATCTGAGCAACAGCTACGTTTCTGGTGTTCCCATTTTGTCGTTCACTTTACTGTTGACAAGGAAGAACTGGCTGCTGTCCTTTTGGCACTGTGTCAGTACCGCAGAGCAAGATTGGAGGGACTGCATACTGCCTAATAGTGTAGTTCCACGTGGTTTTACCACTGCATAATGGAACAGTGAAGGGGGAATCCCTTTTTGAACTGAGCAAAAGCCTGTTAAAGTAGTTTCACGATAAAACTCATAACAATATTTATACTTTTTTACTCAGCAGAATATGTTTGCAGGAAAAACTCTGTAGCTGTTGCTGCCAAATCACCTTTTCTGGTAACTTGGTAGCCAGAGACCCAAGCAGTCCATCCTAGAAAAATAACATTAGCCTTGACTCAGCAAGTGGAATGACTTAGTATGTGTAGCTCACAGCAGTCATTAAATACTCCCGAATCAAGTGCTATTTGATTCACAGACTTTTCCCCCAGCCACCTGGGGAGGGACAACCCCTGCCTGTTATTACTGGGCAAAGAGGAAAGCCTTTAGATCTTTTTATGACAGGAATTCAAGTAGATGGCTGCTAAGCTGCTTTCTTCCCAGAACCCATTTCAGTAATTTATAATCCTTGTGGATTATGCCAACTTTTGCTTGCCATTTCAAAAAGAGGCCAGGAACTGGAAACCACGCCACACAGGGTACTTTTCCCTGGCTGTTGAGTAACTTGGCCTGGTGGTGCAGCTCTGTTCACTTTCAGTGCCAAAACTGCTGGTTAACATAAGTGGAGTTCTAAAGATTTGGTTAGTAGAACTGAACCGTGGACTTTGTCTGAAACTGTTCAGTCACATCTGTGACTACTTTTACTGTGAAAACCCTTTTTGCCGAAAGAAAAGTTTACTCTGCGTGCTAAAGTAATTGTGTAATAAAAATGAATGAGGGAAAAAGCTCTAGTGAACAAGTGGAAGAACACTCATTGCAAGGGGATGGTAGGATTAAAGAGTTTTTATAAAATGATCTCCCAAAAGGAGTGATGTGTGCCTTTTCACATGACACATTTAAAGCTGCAAGTGAGCTAAACCTATTGAAGTGTAGTTGGACACAAGTTTGGTAGCATGTGACCTGTTTCCTTCTAGGATTCATTGTGCACACTGAAGGAAAAAAAAAGATAATTGTGTTGCAGTTCTATTCCAAACCTTTTGTTCTGACAGGTAGTATGGAAGAGCGATGGTCTTTGGAAATTCAGGACAAAGGCCGAGTTACCTGTCCAACATGCCGGGCTGTGGTGAGAAAGACTGTAGAAGGACTGAAGAAACATATGGTAAATTGCAGGCAGGTAAGAACATGAGAGATGAGCAAGGTTTTCTTTACTCCTCTTCAGCTTACTGATAGAAATGCCTGCACACTATTTTGTGTTGCATTTAAAACCAGTTTCATCTCATCATCATGTCTCTAAGGAAGAGTCCTTTATATGTCTGTAAGAGGCTGCGCTTGATTATTCTTGCTTAGCCTTTTGCTGGAGGTTTGGGGTAGTGAACAATGGTGTAGCTATTTCATTGTTCCCCTAAATTTTAGGCTCCATAAAATCGCTTCTGTTCTTAATGGGCAGTTACCAGGCCCAAATAAATAAAATGTTCAGCTCTCCAGCTCCGTTCCCCCAAAGAGTTTCCCACTGCTTTGGTTAATTTACAGTTCCATGCACCATGTCCTTGTTTATTTCTAGGAAATGTTCACGTGTCATCACTGTGGGAAGCAGCTGAAGTCTTTAGGAGGGATGAAATACCACGTCATGGCAGACCATAACAATCAGGTAACACATCTAGAAATCCTACAGGCAAGACAGTCTTTTGTTCGTTCCCTGGTGCACACAGAAACAGAACATGGTGTGTTTTTTCAAATGTTGTAGCTGTTCAAATCTTGTCTACCTATTATTTTTCCTGTGAGATTTGACATCTGAAAAAACAGTAGAATGTTACCAGAGATGGTAGGCATGCTACATCCTAGAAATTTCTGAGGGGATGAATTTCTGTTTAGGCTGGTTGTGTCTCACATAAAAGGCGTTCTCAATCAGAAAAAAAAAAGATTGCTCATTAGGCTGCAATTTTTAGTCCTTTGCTAGAAAGTAGGAGTTTTTCTACATCCAGAGTAGACTAGATTTCAGTTCTTTACAAGTTCAAAGGTAAAAAAGCAGAAGCAGCAGTTTAGTTCTTGTCTCTATTGATTGTAAAGATACTAATGCTACAATCTGCTTTTCCTCTTTGCTATTACTTTAAAGAAGGCAATGTCTCCTAGAATCATAGAATCATTAAGATTGGAA